ATAATTAAGAAATCACTACTCATTCTGGTGGCCTGAATGTTTGATTCTGTGTTTTAGAGTTTTAAGGCTTTCTTTAACTGTTTCATCCATTTTATGTTAATTTTTGATTACGGTGTTAAGTAAAAGTCCAACTGTTTTAGCTGCTTTCTCATTGCTACAGCAGAATACCTGACATGGACAAGTTAAAGGAAGAAAGATTTATTTTGGCTCACAGTCTGTAGAGGGTTCAGTCTGTAGTCAGCTGGCTGCAAGTCAAGGTGGATAGCAGAAGGGGAACAGTCCATGGCAGGGTAGGCAGGAAGCAGCCTACTTTTTTTCTTTCCCTATAGGTTTCATCCAGACTATGGAACTTAACAAAATTAAGTTTTCCAATCCATGAACATAGAATGATGTTTTTGAAAAATATATTTGAGCAGTATTTTGTGGTTTTTATTGTATAAGTCTTTCATCTTGGCTGAGTTCATTAATTTATAATTATTTTATTCCTTGCAATGCTATTGTGAATGGAATAATTTTGTAATTTAAAAAAAATTGTTAGTTGTTAGTGTACAGAAATGCAGTTTTTCTGTGTGCTGTATCCTCCTTCATTCTGATTTTATTGTGACAGCGTCTGTCCCCTCCCTTCTCAAGCTCTCCTTTCCTCATCAACTAGGTGTATTTCTCACTGTCTTGTCCCATTTGTTCTCTTTAGAAAGGGAATGAGACAAAGTTGTGGTGGGGACATGTGACAATGTGACTCTGTCTTTAAGAAATTGGAATTTTTTTCACTTTTGTCTTTGAGGTCCCATATATGAAAACTTAGATATTCCTCATCAAGGCCAATAAGTTATATTTAATATCTTTTTGTCTGTTCTTTAAGCACCATCTGGCAGACCCATCCTCTTTCTGGTCTGAGTTTCTTTTTATTTTTTTTATGGGTTTTATGTAGATGTGCTCATAGATGGGAATTTTGGGAGGTGGCTGTGTTATCGGTGTGTGATATTGGATTAAGATTGAGTGGTATTGATCAGTCCACAAGTTGGATTAGCATGGTTCTGGTTGGAAACAAATACATTTACTAAAGAAAAAACCCCCACTCTTGGTGTAGGTAGCACCAATCAATAAATTTGTAACCTGGATGGAATAAAAGAAAATGGAGGTTCTTTGCTTAATGCCTCCTGCCTACCCTGCTATAGACCGTATCTCTTCTGCCACGCCCCTCTACTGTGCCTCCTTGCCTTAGAGCCAGCCAACTAGGGACTGATACCTCTCTGAACTGTTAGATAAACCAAAGCTTTCTTTTTCCATTTTGGATATGAGATATTTTGCCCCAGCAGTGAAAGAATAAGTCAGCATTCCTATGAGTGTCAACTGGGTAGCATTCTTAGGAACAATGAAGACTCTACACTATATGATATTGGGCCTCTGAGTAACAATAACATGAAGACTTTTTTTTTTAAAGAACAAAAATACTAATAGAAAAATAACAAACATCATTAGAAAGGATACAAAGTTTTGCTAAACGAAGTAATAAGAATTCAACAATAGTTGCCGTATTACATAGGCTATCTTCAAATTAGTTGTTTAGATCACTAGATACAAATGTGTAAGATTTGTTTAAGGAAAAAAAGAAACAAAACAAAAAATCATTGACAAACAAGTTACAAGAAATAAAAAGAGGAAGAACAAAATCAGATTAATTTTTTTTAAGCATTAACTGCTCCATTCAAAAGACCAGCAGAAATTGACAATACAATTATCCAAACTATTCTGCATATATATGTAAATATATTTTTCCTTTCTTTTATTTGTCCCTTTCCTCACCCCAGTATTTCCTTCCCATTAAACAGTTTCTTTCCCATTCACAGTATCTGTTGTACCTTTTAGATTGTCAGTATTTTTTTAGGTTCTTACACTAGTGAGACAATGTAATGTTAGCACATGTGGATCTGACTTATTTCACTTACCAATATAGTCTCTATTTGCATTCATTTATCTACAAATGCCTCAAATTTATCTTCTTTTTAGCTGAATAATACTCCATTGTATAACAATACCATATCTTTTTTATTTGTTCCTCAGTGATAGGCATTTGGGTTGCTTCCAAGACTTAGCTATGACAAATTGCTCTGCTATAAGCATGGGTACACATATATTGCTGTTGTATGATGATTTCAGTTCTTTTGGAAAAAATGCCTAGGAGGGGACTAACAGACTTGAATGGGACCTCTAATCCTAGCTTTTTGAGGAATCTCCATAGTGATTTCCCTGATGGTTGTAGCAGCCTACACTACCACCAACAGTGAAGAGGGGTTCCTTTTCCCCCACAGCCTCTCCAGTATTTGTTATTGGTTGACTTCTTTATGATAGACATTCTTTCTGGCATAAAATGATAGCTCAGTGTTGTATTAGTTTGCATCTCTTGAATGACTAATAATGTTGAACATTTTTTAATATATTTATTTGCCATTTGTATATCTTCATTTATGAAATCTGTATTCATCTCAGATGCCTATTTTTGGATTGGATCTTTCAATTTTGGGGGCCTAATATGTTTTAATTCTTTATATGTTCTAGATAGTATTCCTTTGTCTGAAAGACAGCCTGCTATAGTTGTCTCTCACTTCATGGGTTTTCTTTTTATTCTTTTGATGTGCAGAAACTTTTGAAAAAGATGAAATCCCAACTGTTGATTCTTTGAAGCATTTCCCATACAGTTTGATTTTCGTTCATGAACTCTTTACATACCCTTATGCCCTTAAGGTTTCTGCCTATATTCTCTTCCAGGAGATTTAGTGTATTGGTTCTAATATTTAAATCTTTGATCCATTTTGACTGTAATTTTTGCATGGTGATAGGCATGTGTCTATTTTAAGCCTTTGGCATGTAACAGGAGAATTTTTCAGAACCTTGAGGATAACTGGTTTTTCCTTTATTGTTCAAGTACATCTTTGGTATCATTTAACTAATCCTATGGCACAGGATAAAGATGTTGACATAGTAAGAATCCTGGCTCCCTGCTGAGTCACTTAATTAAACTTTTAAACTTCTCAAGTTAACGCAATGTATCAACCAGTACACAAGGTATCCTTTTAAATAAACAGACAGCTGATTTCCAGAGTTGGGTGGGATGTCAGGACTAATTGTGTCCAAAACCCTCATTTTACAGAGATGAAAGAATTAAGTATTTAGCATCAGAAACCGGGAGACAGGTCTGGGACCTCATCATAGAACAAGTCTTGTGTTCTTTCTACCCTAACATTTGAGTAAAAACTTATTTTATTGATGGAAATGAACAAATATGATAACTCCACAAAAGGATACTTCATACTTAATGGAAACAAATTCTAGTGTTTTTAGGGATCTGTCATTTTTCCAGGTAATATGTACAAGCTGTCTTTTTATACAGCTTGTCTTGTTTAATACCCATGGAAACTTTATCACCTTCATATTTATAAACAGGGAATCTGAAACTCACAGAATTTAGGTAGCAGCCAGTAAGTGCCTGGCCAGGAACTGAACCTGGGTTTTTCTTTCCTCAGTGTCCTGGTTCTCTGAGTTGGCCTCCTTTTCTCCTTTAAAGTAGACTTGCATATATCTGAATAACAGTAAAATCCTTAATTTGAGTTTATAAAATACTTATTGTTTGTATTTATGACAAGCCGTCATCTGTCACAGGCATTATGGGAAAAGCCGTCTATATTCCATGTCAGAAAACCTGAACTCACTGCATCCAGGTGCTGCTGCTGTGCCCATGGTGCTGGGCGTGGCCAGCTCTCCACAAAGACTTTTTAGTTTTCTTCTCTGTACAGACACTGCACTGCCCAGTATCAGAATGCCTTGTAGTTTCAGTTCCTCCTGCTGTGGGGAGTAGAGTAAACAGTAAACTGGTTCTGAAGTCATAGGATTAGCTCCAACTGTGGCTCTTCAGTGGAACCTTGGACTGGGCATTTGGCTCTCCAAGTATGGAACGGGAATATGACCAATCTCATGGGACTGTTGTAAAGTATAAGTGAGAAAATGCTTGGAAGTGTGGCACATGGTAGGTATTCTGTAAGTGGAAGTGCAGCACTGTGTAAGTATATGGAAGTTTTACTTAACTGTAATATAATTACTACTGTATGTGCAATGGAAAAATCCTCCATTATATTTATTATTTTTTAATTTTTTCAAAGAGAATAAAAATAGTAGGAAAAAAACCCCAAACCCAACAAAATTAGAAACAGTACAAAATTTCACTAAACAAAATTGTAGGAATTCAATCATGGTTGTTATGTTGCATATTGTTGTCTTCATATTAGTTGCTCAGATTACCAGACATAAACATGCAGAATTGGTAAAAAGTTATAAAAAAATTAAAAAGGAGAGGTAGAAAAAAACTTAAACAATAACTGTTTCCTTCAATAGACCAGCAGAAATCAGCAGTACAGTTATACAAGCTATCCTGTGTATATGCATACATCTTCCTTTTTCTCTTCCTTTGTTCTTTTTTTTAATCTCCTTTCTCTCATCCCAGTTGTTCCTTCCCTTTTAACAGATTGCTCCCCTTTCACGTTATGTATTATAACCCTTCAGATTTTATTTTCTCTTTCAAGTTCTTACACTAGGAAAACAATATGATGTTTACACATGTGGGCCTGATTTATTTTGCTTATGAGTATGATCTCTAGTTGCATCTATTTATCTATAGAAACCTAAACTTTATCCTTTTTTGTAGCTGAGTACTACTCTATGGTATAAAAATGCCACATCCTTTTATCCATTCCTCAATTAATGGCCATTTGGGTTGTTCCAAGATTTAACTATGACAAACTGTGCTGCTATATACATGGGTGTACATACATCGCTGTGGTATGATGTTTTCAGTTCTTCTGGAAAAATATCCAGGAAGGGAATAGCACGGTTGAATGGGACCTCCAATCCTAGTTTTTTGAGAACTCTGCACACTGATTTCTATAGTGGTTGGGCCCTATTTCATTCTTTTATCTATTATTATTATTATTATTTTTTTGCTCCATCAGAGGCCAGCAGAAATAGTTGATGAGGAAGAAGATGTAGAGAAAGTAGACACGGATGCAGAGCAAAAAGAAGACCCTTCAAGAGGGAATGATGGAGCTGCAGAGGAAGGAGGCAAGGGTGCTCCTGACCTCCCTGAGCACAGCGAGGAGGTGGCCAGTCCTGCCCGTGCAAATGGAGGAACTGATGAGGAAAATGGAGAGGAGCTCGGCCAGACTAACAGTGAGCTTCAGCCAGCAGCGGGCGAGGAGCACAGGTCTCCAGGAGCCGGCAGTAGACAGGATGAGGTATGTCTATTGCTTTTGCTATTTGTGCAAGAATATGTGTGTGAACCCAAACTGCTTATGCCACAGAAGGAATGAATTTCAATTTCTACTTATTTCAGTCTATACGTTTGTCATGTTGTCATTCACCCACCCAGTCATCCATCTCCTTCTTTATTGTTGAAAATTTGTCAGAATTCTTTAAGAATATATACAATAAGGGTTGGGGAGATAGCTCAGTGGAATAAGTGCTTGCCTGTCAAGCACAAGGTCCTGAGTTCGATCCCTAGTACCACACACAAAAAAGAAAGTATGTACAATAAAAGAGAGAGGTACAACAATACAAAGAAGTTAAAATCATGGAAGATTAAATAAGAAAAGGGAATGAAGAACAGTGAGACCTCAGACATGCTGTTAAGAACATTATCTCTATTATCAGTGACTTCTTTGGTTTCTAGAAGAATTGTCTAGTTTGTTTAACCCATTTTAAATGGATTTATTGAATCAAGCCTTCAGTACAGCAGGTACTGTTGTATTTAGCAAACTATAAGAGAAAAGAACAAATTTAACAATGGAAAAGTACACAGTGCTCTTGTGGCCAGGTTTTAGTAACCAGCAGAAAGTTATTTGTAATCCACTGTACAACTTGTATAAAAGATTCTTTACATCTAAATGAAATCTCCCAACATTGTCTCTCATTTTGTCTTTACTCAAGGTGACATAATCACAGTTTGATGCTGTAACAAATTCCTCATATGTAATGCATTCTACACGGTCCTCACTGTCATTTATACAGCCACTCCAAAGTAGACTTATACTCTTTGTTATAGTGGCCTTTGATGCAAGTCTAGGAGATACTAAGTGGGAAAAGATAGTAAAATCCTTGTGTGATTTTTCCTATTGGCCTGGTGTAATTCAACATATGACTTAGGAGATTTATAGAAATGAATCTATTGCCTTCCATCAGTGTAACTTTTAAATTAATTCCATAATTTTCAACAACAAGTAGAAGGACATTACACTAGATATAACAGTACAGACACAAGAAAGTGAATTCTTCGTGATTACACTTACACGCGGAATCAAAGAAAGTTGAAACTGGGAGAAACTGAGTAGACTGCTGGTTAGCAGGGCCCAGGAATGTGGATATGGGAGATGTTGGTTGAAGGGTACCCAATTCCAAGTAGGAGATCTAGAGTACACCATGGTGATAGTAGCTAATGACAATGGGTTGTATGGTTGAAAGTCACTGAGAGATCTTGTGTCCTCTCTAGGGAAGGTGACAATGCATGAGGCAGTGCCTATGTTAATTTAACTCAGCCACTTCCAACACAAACATTTCAGAACATCATATTACATATGAGATATATATATATATATCATATTACATATGATGTATATATATTATTTTCCAATTAAAAGAAATTAATTTTAAGAATAAAGGAGAGAAACAGAGTTTTTTTCATAATTTTATTGATAAATAGCAATGAGACAGTTTCAAATCAAATCGCTAGGACAGTTTCAATAAGAGAAACAGACTTTTGATAAGAACTGGGCCTCAGTCAAAATCAAGGTTATATGTCTTGAGAAGGCATCCTGAGGTACAGGTGTCTATGGTATGTAATGAATGGTTCAGATGGAAGAATACGAATTCTTGGATGTATACAGGTGCAAGTGCCTGGTAAGTGGCTAGCTTGGGATCTTAAGGCCAAGACTAATGCCTGGGAAGAAAAATCACTCACACAGATCTAATCTTACTCGGTCCATCTCTTCTTTGCAATGATGATCTATTTTATCTTGGTTCCCTTGAGTGCATCAGTATAGATACGCTTTGAGCATATCAAATATATGAACATGCACATTGGTGTGAATTATAAATGAATAATTAAGTTTTGCAAAAGAATTCTGTAAATATTGTGTTGCATGGGATGGTTCTTGTGAAAAGTGAGAAATTATTATAGAAACATCAGGTAATACAAGGCAAATACACATAAGCAGCTGACACTTATTGAGGTTGTGAACTTGTGTGGTAGTCAAGACACCACTTGAGGTGCTACACAAGGCAGTATAAAATGCGACGTGACTCCAGGAAGATAGATATCAATAGATATGTATATTTTTTCATTTCTTTGGATAATAAGTCATGGAATCATGGCTATGGGACCTGGGGGAGCTGGAGCCACTCCTGTCCTCTCAATTGGCCATTTTGGCCTAGGGCAATGTCCAGGATTGTGGGGAGCACAGGTTGAGAGCCATCTAATTTCATCTTCTTCGGTTTTCAACATAATGGGGAAAGACAAACTATAAGTGAGACACTAGCTCTAATAAGATATGAAATGTGCAAGAGGCAGAACAAATGCTGCGGTGGGACAAGAGCTGCCTTTGTGTTTTGCTGGTCTGTCCCACTCACCACAGTTACCACGAGAGAACCAGGAGAGAGAGCAGTAGGCAGGGTTTACTGAGGCAGGCAGGGGAGCTGCTGCATTTTTCTTTCTTTATCTCTGAAATGCCCCATGGAAAAGTATAAATGGGGGCTTGAGAAAGAAGAGCTCAAAGGGAAATAAAGAAAAAATTGAGAAAAATAAAGCCTGCAGCATAAGAAATGAACCTGAGCTGTGAAAACACAGTGAATTATGGCCCCAAAAGGCTTCTGTACAAATAAAAGATTGAGGATGGTAGGTCCACCAGGTAGATGCAAACCCAAATGCACCCAAGGGACTGTTTCTAGTTGAAGCCAGAAACAGTAAATAGAACACTGAGTCATTTTTTCTTTGTAAGTTTTGTTACCCTTGTAACCCAAAGAGTTAAAGCATCTTTGTTTTGCTGTTTCCCTCCAGGCTGACTTAGACCCCCAAGGACCACAGAGACCAGAAGTAAAAATCACCAGTCCTCAAGAAAATGAAAACGATGAACAAAACAAGGACTATGCTGTTGTGGCCTAGATGATTTTTTTTTTAAAGCGAGTATGTGGATTATAAGAAAACAAAAGGTTGTAATACTTGAATAATAAGCACAGTCATGGTGAAGCATAACATGGCAACACAATTCAATATTACTTGTTGAATTTAAAAATAGATGCCCAAAGAAAAGACTAGATAACTTTTAGCAACTACCAAAGGAGAATGACTTATTTTTGTGGTATGTGTTTTTGAAAGTTGAAAAGTTAAGTAAAAAGGACAAAGAACTTGCCCTGGCAGACAATTAGCCATTTATGTTTTTAAGCATAAAAATAGGATCACTCCTAGTGCATACTTTATTATAAATTTACAAGTAAGATTATTCAATGGCAGTTCATTGTAAAGCATTTATCTAGGATAGCGCAGAAGTTTAAAGAATTGGTAATAGAACATGTGTTATTTTCTTAAAGCAATAAACTTGAATGAACAAATTGCAGTTTAGTTTCAGAGATAATTTCGAGATAGCAGATCAAACTGTTTCTATAACTTGCCCACATTTCTTTCCTCTTTTCTCTTTAGCCCAAATCCACTTTGCACAAGCTAGAAGACAATGTAAAGTGTTCGTGTTGGCTAGAGGAAGCACTCCTGCAGAGGGCTAGTGACTAAGGTCATGCCCTCCCCAGAGAGCTTCTAAGCTCCACCTCACGGCTGCAAGCATGCACTCAGGAAGTAGGGATGACGGAACTGCCAGTCGCGTCACTAGTTGGATGCTTTGCAACTTTTAGAAATCCTATGGATTTTCATAGATTCAATCTATTTGTACTGATAATTTTAAAAGGTGAAGCCTAAAGGGAGGATGCGATAGCATTTTACTAGATGTCCTTTTCTTCTCCCTCTTATTATTGTAATAGAAAAATTGATATTGGTTATTCCAGAGATTGAATTCTTCCCAGTTTTTTTTTTAACCAGAAAAAGAGAATATAATAGGAAGAGAAAAAGGTCAGGAAGAGGAGTCATGGCTGCCCATTTTCATTTGCTTCTTGCTTTATTTCTATGAGAGTTATTTGTGAGATTTTTGCCTCTGAAGATGACAGCACTTATTTTCATAGATGTTTATATTTAATCTTTGCTGCAGCTTCCTTCTTATACAATTTAAAGTCATCTAGTAGAAATTGGTGGAAAAAATTAAAAATTATCATAATGAAACCAGTTCCCATTTGCCACTTTGTAGACTGATTAATAATTTACTTTTGCTTTGTGGAGTATATATGGGAAAATGTATTGTATTAGTTTGGTGATTATTAGTAGATATTGTGTTTTTCTTCCTTGAATACAGAAATAATATATTTTTCTCACATTAAAGAATATATTTTTAATTATGTAGAAGTTATACGGAAATTCTAACTTTTAGTGCTTTTATAAGATTATTAACCATAAATTTAAAAGACTTTTCCTCCTCTAGGCTTCCTAACCAGCTTTTGAAATTAAAATAGTTGGTGGTTAGATAAAGCACTTAACAATACTATAGAAAATAGGCGTATTTTTCCTAACAGCTATTTTAATATCTTACACAAATAAGAAGTATGAATAGAGATTATAATATAACAGTATTTGGAGGGCATAATGATTTATTAATCTAGGAAATCAGCTGTAAAGAAGCACTGTACTTCTGGTGGAAAATCTACTTTGCTTTCTGCCTACAGCCTTACGTTTTCAAGTGGGCAGCCGGAAGCACCGTGCAGCACAAGCAGCCATCTGTGGGTGCAAGAAGTGGGCCAGCTGAGCTTTTAATATTAAATTCCAGAGCTACTACTGGTCTGTGGTTAGTGATTTTGAAGTAGTTTATAAAAGTCAGTGAGTACATATAAGAAATGTTTGCTGTCTCCAGGTGATCCTTTTTTCTTTCTTTGATGAGTTTCTCACTCTCCCTTTTCCTCTTTCATAATTTCTCCTTTTTTCCTTCATTACAGTATGAATCTTAGGTTGTAAGGAACTCCGGATGAGCCATTTTCATGAAGTACAACATTGACTTTTACAGAAAGTAAACTTTGAATTTTGGTATACTTCAAGAAGTTAATAGGTCACTCTAATTATATCAAAAATTTTAAATTGGGATGTGTTCTTTTTGTTTGTACATTTTTTTATAATACTTGTTGATGGAAAGAAGTGGTGACCTACCATGAGGGAAAGTAAAAGAGTTTGCCACTTAAAACAAGTTTCAAACCTATCAATATAAATAAATGACATAGGTAATCAAAACAAACAAGAAGTCATGTACAGAGAATTAAAATTGTGGACATCACTTTGGAGATAAGTTTGGCATAAATGATGAGAACAAATTCGTCCCACTAATGTGGCAGTTTTCTCCGTAGGAATGGTGGTCTCTATGGCAGGCTAGCAGATAGGTTTGGGAACCATTTATGTGAGCTAGCAGATCTTGGCTAGGCTTCATATATTGTTTTATATAGAGATGGTGCTATGTAAAACTTACATTGCTCTCACGTAATAACCAGTATAATGCTTCGGGACATTAGTTTTTGTGAATCTGTATATGTAGGTTTCCTAGTTTTAGTTTTGTGTAACTACTTTATTAAAATTATTTGGATTTTTAAGGCACTTGTAATAAACTGACTTGTTAGCAAAGTTGGAATATTAGAAGTTTCCAGAGCAAATAAAAGATTATGACTAAAGTCATCTTCAGGCTGCTGGCTTAGCTTCTATGAGAACAGCTACTGAATGACCATTGAATTCCAGTTATAAAGAATGATATTATGACCAAGGAAAACCTTTACTCTTTGCTCTTCTCTGTGTTCATAGAATGACTTTTCAATTAAGATGTTTTTTTTCTTAGATGTTTGGGACTATGATAATGCATGAAAGGCATGGCCTTTCCCTACCTCTTGCTTTGTTCTGAAGGTGAGCTTTCTTGCCCAGGTGGGAAAAGATGAGCCATGCTGTATGCACAGTTCCGACCAGCCAGGTGTCAGTCAGTTGTCATGCAGTTGGCAAGCTGGATCCACTGATGTGAAGTTCCTAGTACTCATGCTTCCAGCATATAACTCATAAGTGAACACCTCAGAATTTTCATTGGATGACCTGCTTATGCACAAAGACGAGATACTTAGAAAAAATAATTTGAGAATTTGAAATTGAGGTTGTGTAACAACAGGAAGGCTTTCTTTTCCTATTAAACAATTCTCCTAAAGAATTAGCTCCACACTTTGTTTGCTGAACAGGTAGCAAAAGAAAAGTTAAGCACGTAGATGAATTGCTGCACAGAAAACATCATGTCTGAACCATTGCCAAGCTGAATGGAAACACAATACATAGATGAATATCCGGTACTTAAGCAGATGCACTTGCACTCTTTAAACACCAAAAAGGCCTCTTTAGGTGCAGAATTATTGATAGAATGCAGCTCTTTGGGATCAGGTGGAAAGAAGTGACATATAAAAACATGAAACAAAATGCTAAGAAATCACATATATTATGGTGCTTTAAATATTGACTCTAGAAGACTTTTAAGAGATTTAAGGTTTTTTTTTTCTCAAAATAAGAAAGTTATCAGCATTTTGGTGAAGAAATATATTTCAGAAAAGGATGTCAAAATGTTTTTAAAGTTTCATGAAAACTTAGACATACCTGCCTTGTTTCTCTGAGGTGATTTCCCAGCAGTTTCTGACACTTGCAGAACTGCATTCTTTAGATATGGAATATTTCATACTAACACAGGTCCTGTTAAAAGGTTAGTTACTGGTGGTGCATGTATGTGGTTATAAGTTACTTGAATATGTCCGGGACTCCCCTTGGTCCTAGGCAGCCAGGGGTACCCCCAATAGACTGAGTTGGTCCATTAGTTTTTAGAACCATGCAGGAGCATTTTAGCTTACTTGTCTGACTGCAACATCTTGGATTGCAATCATATTTTTAAGGCTAGCTTGTTTTTCAGAGGCAATGAGTGCATGCAGTTCTCCATTATGAAATAGAGTTTTTAGGAATGTCACAAGATTTTTGCTTTAAAAAGTCCTTGTGTGGATGGGTCTGCATTTTATTCTTCCCACATGAAACTTTTACAGTTCTTCCTGTGAAGTTTGAGTGACAGATGGAGAATGAAAGAGGATCCCTATGTGTTGATGAGGAAAACATAATATTGCTTTTGATGAGGCGTAACATCTGGAGGAGAAAGGGGATTAGGAAAGAATTAAGAAATGCCTGGGTAACAATAAAGAATTTATGAAATCAGGAGGTAACTAATGGAACTCCATTGACTTAAGCCAACAGTGATTTAGCTTTAATCTGTGAATGGCGCTAAATGAATTCTCTGCAGTTTCATCAGCTTGAACCATATAGTTTAATTGAGTGTTTCAGTTATTGCTACAAATGTAATGACATATGGGAAAAGGGAGTGACTGCAGTTGATTTTAGAAGGTTGGAGAAAGCCTGTTTTGCTGTTTGGCTTCGTTGTTTGCCTTGTGTCTTGAATCTTTAGTATGTACAGTAATTCTGTGTGATTATTGACATTATAAGGGAAGATTAAGTTGAGCTTATTGTTTTCATAGGATTTGTGATATTTAGGGTGTCTGCTCATAAAGAAAATTGTGTTTTTATCAAATTATGAACATTTAGGTTTCACTTCTGTATAAGTACATGCTCTAAAATGCATAAGTTTACTGTATCCTATGAGTAAATAGATCTACATTTTACATAATTAAGCTGTGCTGGGATGGTTTATGGTTTGTTTATGATGCTATATTGCTAGTATTTCATGTATTATTACTATTTATGGTGCTTTCATGAGCACAATAGAAAAATTTGACTTTTGTGGAAATTTAGTGCCTTACAAACACTTTTGTTTCTATTTAGCAGAAATTAAGCTTTATTATGCATTTTAAAAAAAGTTTTAGGCACATATTGTTTATTTGATAAAGTTCAGGTATATTTAAACATTATTTTCTTTTATGAAATGTTTTCATAGAATGACAGGTCCAAAGTTTTAAGATAAATAAAATATCTTTAAAAACAAACACTAGATCATATATACATTACACATATTTTGTATATATATGTTCATGGGAATAAAGTCAAAATTTTACAAAGGATTTTGACTAAATCTCTGCTTCATATTGTAAGATTCTCATCTCTTTCTTTTTTTTTTCTCATCTCTTTCATTCTACTGAGTTTAGTTTTTGTTTTCCCTCCCACATTTGAGAAACAAAACCAGTTAAGCACAAAATACACATGTTCTGAATCATGTAACCATGAAGAGTTTATTAGCAGGTCTCATCTGAATGTGACCAGTTTATCTCTGTCATTCCCAAAGAAGAGAAAGCAAACTTCAGCAAAGAAGCAGGTTAATCTCTTCAGATTACTGGGTTAATTGGCATTAGAAATGTTCTACCACCAGCAAAGACTCATTTCTTTAAAGTGTTGGAAAATTGGAGCATACATTTGTTATATTTATTTATGAAAATAAACATTGAGCTTGCCTGCAGATTTCCAAGAGTTTTTATTCCCCCAATGGGACTTTAGTCTATTAAACTGTCATACAGTCTCTGCAAAGCGCTCACAGTCAAACGCAGTCTTCCATTCAAAGATGAATGATACATAACTTTCCACTGATTTAACAAATTCATTGGTTTCACAGTAACAAAAATGACATAAAAATTAAACCC